ATGAAAGTGGTTTGGACTCCCCCACCTAGAGGATTCTTGAAATTAAACGTTGATGGATGCAATAGTCGGGGCAATCGGGGATTGGAGGTGTTTTTAGGGACGAAAATGGAGTCATCTCTGCCATGTTCTCAGGCCCAATTGGAGTGGGTGACTCCCTTAGAGCTGAGATCCTTGCAGTTATGGAAGGAGCCCGGAAAGCTAAGGAGTTGAACATCAAGAAACTCATAATTAAAGGGGATTCAGAGGTGGTGATAGGATGGBTGACTAAAGATCAAAATGGTTTATGGAAGTATAACAATGAGAGGAGGAAATTCATGTGGCTGGTGCGGGAGATGGAAGTTAAGACATGTTGGGTTAAAAGATCGGCTARTTCCCTAGCTGACGGTTTAGTTAAACAAGGGGCAGAAAGGGATTCACAGTTTTGGGCTAAGCTGTAACTTTAGTGTATTCTTTTCTCTTTTTCTTCTTTTTTCTTTCTTTTATGAGGCTCTTAGTGACTCTTGGAAGATAAGTGTATTTGTATTCCTCCTATAAATTTTCTACTGATGATTAATGAAAGTGTTATTGATAAAAAAAAATTACAGGTTCGTTTTTCTCTTAAAAGATAGTTTATTGGATTATATTTTTAAAGAGTGTTTCTTTTTTTTTCATATTTTATCTTTTTGTTTATTATATCCATGATTTTGTGCCTGTTAATGGGGGACCATTCGATTTCAGGATGGTCCTACGAAAATCTTAAGTTAAAACAATAAATAAGGTTTTACCAAATTTTTATTGCATATACTTGAAATTAAAATTATTATTGTTTATTTTTTGTTAAATTTTATTCATATTAATGAAAAATTAATACTTTATTGAGATGAAGGGGCGATAGGTGGATGGATTTGCTAATATTGTTTGGGTTGTAGATTTGACCCCCACGTGTTCACTGAAATGCATAAATGGGTCACTCTGCCCTCTGCGCTCATACACTCAGCCCCACACCCCACGATCCATGCCTCCTTGTCACAAGTGACCACTTTTTCGCGACATGAAGTGCCTTTGCCGTGCCCACGACATGCCATCAAAGTGTTGTCTAGTGCGTCTGGGGTGGGTCTATATGTGTATTTTGTAAAGGGGGATTGCCAATGGCATTATTGTAATTAGGTAGTATGATTTTCCAGTATTTCCATGTAATCTTTTGCCAAAGCACCAAAAACTTAATGTACTCTTTGAGGGGAGGTGAGTAGTTGAGAGGTCCCAAGACCGTGTAAAGGTTAAGCATGAGGTCCCCTCGACATAGACTTGTGTGCTTGTGCTTGCCATCTATTGCAATATAAAGTGCCTTTTTACTAATTCGTGTGCCATCTTTGTTGCCTTTTGTGTGTGTTTGCTTGCTTTCTTAGGCTTATTCTGTTAGACAGTGTATGTCCTTAGCTCCAATCAAAATGATGTACGTTATGACATTTAATGTAAATTAGTGTATTTGATTCATGTTATTATGGTGTGTTTCTGTGTAATACCCTTAAATTGGACACATATGAGACTCATGTTAGTTTAGAATCTTCACAGCCGTTAGATAGATCTAAGAAGATTTATCCTGCCAAGGCTGACACTGATGTGCTGCCAAGTTGGTTGGGGTGGCTTGTCTCAGCTGCCAGGGTGAGACCTGAGGTACATGCAGTGTGGGTTTTCTTGAAACCCTGAACCGGACCAGAATTCTAGTATTGCCCTGGACCTTGGAGACTGGTGCGCAAAACTGGAATGTTACA